ATATATATATATATATATATATATATATTTAATTAAATGAATAAAAATAATGGGTCCAGAGCGTTAGATACGTCAACGTTAACGAAAGTACACACTATAACGGCGAGGACGACAGTGGTAGCAGCTGCGTGCTCGCCTCGTGTCCGCGCGAGACACCGTGAACCGGTGAACCAATGATGGTGCGAGCCTCGCTAAGGGCGTCGTAGCTCATGGAGGGGACCAAAAGAAGGGAGAAGATATCACTGAGAGTGAGAGTGAGATCGAGGATATTAGCTTGACGTGATGTTGCTTACGAGTACCAAAAGACCCTTTTTCAAATTTTTCCTCTTGTTAAAAATTTTAATTCTTTTATTTTTTTAGCTGTTATATTACGTAATACCTGTCGGGATATATTATTCATTAATAAATAAAGAAATATATAGATATTTACTTGGAGTTGTTGAAAAAACATGCTGAGGCCGTGAGCTTAAAATCGCTTGACTGGTGAAGAAATAAAAAATAAAAATATGTTATTTTTAATGATGACCTTGAACATGGTCGGAGCATCTGTTGCGTATACATAATAATTTTTTTTAGCATCTTGAAAAGTAATTTTTGTCTGTTAAAATAGGCAAGTAGCTGGGATGGCTGGTATGGTTCTCTCCCGGGATTTCTTTGGTGCACGCGTTGCCATACCCTTGATAGATCCAGAAGGGCAAACACCCTGCTTCACGTGGCATTGGATCAGCCCCTCGATTTATCCTCTGTCTCACTCGGTGGTAGATCTAGTCACGTGGGAAGAAACAAGAAAGAGGACCAGCCGAGGGAGCGAGTCTGCCTAGAAGGGGACTCCCTTCATCCTTGAGGTGGGGTCCTAGCCACCCCACTGTGTGTCGTGTAGGATCAATACCCGACACGATCCGAAGCTACCAAGTCCAAGCCATACCAACCCTGGCTCTGGCTATATAACCATACTCCCTCCACTGGTGTCTCGTTAGCTCCCTTTCTACCGGAGCCAAACATGTGCGGAGGAAATACTTGGAGAACCACCGATACGAGAGATGCGGGCATCCAAGATATCTAGGATATTTTTTTACCCTGAAATATCTTAACCTTTTTTATTCTCCTTCTTCTTCTTCTTCTTTATCCATAATATATATTTAAAAAGAATCCTCATCTCTTTTTCTATCATCAACTTTGTTATTACCTACTTTCTTTCTTCTGCTTATTTTCATTCACATCAATACCGACTACCACATGTTCCCCATCCGGTTTCCAGGTACCAAAGCTGCGACCTTAATGCAGGTAGTCTTGCACACAGTTCGCAATAATAAACGGTTTGAGTCCGGCCTTTCAACGGCTAAGCAACTAAAAAAGACAAGAATAAAAAAGAAGAAAAAAAAAAAAAAAAAAAAAAAAAAAAAACCAGGTTTTAGAATAAAAGATCTCAGCAGTATCAAGGCCACGTTGTCTTCATTGGCTTCGGGAGAGTTCACGAAGAGTAAAACGGGAGTGACGAGAGTAAAGAAGACACATCTGGTATTACTTGGTCTCGCATCATCCAGGACAAAGACTCTTTCAACTGAGAGTCCCCTCGTCTATCATCATGGCAGTTAATAGTAGTTGGAATTCATATCATAAGCAGAGCTCTACACTGCTAAACACTAAACTAGAAGCTCTGCTCAGCGAAATCCGAGAGTCCAAGGGGGGAAAAAAGAGACCGGCGTCGGCGTTGCCAATGATGGCGGCTAGTGGTAGAGTGGCTGAAGCCAGATTACATTCTCTCTCCCTCTTTATCTCAGCTTCTCTGTCCTTTATTATGTTGGTTCGTACTCTCACTGGTACCCACCAAGCGGATGCGGTGCGTAACAACGACCAACCCTGCGACTCCGGGTACCGTTTCTATGGTACCGTTCGGATTATCCCTCCCTTACTGTCTCTCTCTAACTCTTCAACCGTCTCTTTTCCTCTCCCTCTGTGTGTGTACGTGTCATTATCAGGGGAACGCCGTTTACTGCACGAGGGTGAACACCATAACCGCCCAAGGCACTAGACCCGTTCGTTCGTTCGTTTCGTTAAAATACCCCTGGAACTAAAGTACAAAAATTTCAAGATTTTAAATTACCAAATAATACTCACCATTTTATACTACGCTTTATTATGCTCGACACGATCCTCTGGGACTTTCGCGTGGTCGTTGTCGCTCCCTGACCAGACAATTCCTTTGTGTTGTTTTTATTCTTCAGGGTGGTTTTGCTCTTTTGCAAAGAAGAGCGCTCCATCCACTCGGCAACCGTCTCCGCCTGGTCTTTCGCCGGGTCTAGCAATTCATCATCGTGCAATATATTTTCAGCAGCTGTTGCGGGTCCAACGATTCCCAGCTCAGAGTTTTCGCTACGACAGCCTGAGACTGTTGATGACGTTTGATTTATCTCAGAAATTTCCTCGGCCTCAGTCATCTCTGAGGGCTTTTCATCTAACTGCTTTTCTTCCGACACTTTCGACGCTTTATCAGGGCTAGCTCGTACCGTCTCATCAAGGACACCTTCAACCTGTCCGCATTCTTTAGATGGCCTTCGTAACTGTGTCGCAGAATAATCATTGTCTTTTTCCTTTTCCTTTGAATTTTTCGACTCTGGTGATGAATTTTTTAGCTCGATTTTTTTTTCAACGCTGATACGCCGTTCCTTGGTTCCATTGCCTGGACTTTTATTACCAGACACCCCAGAGTAGAGAGTATTATCTCCCTCTTCGGGATTACTGATCACCGGGTTCTCTGACATCCCTCGTTTTCTTGTTTACTTCACATCTTACTCTTCTCGATCCGACTTGGGTAACTCGGAGCTTACACTCTTGTATTTTATTTATCTTTGATAACTCCAACCGGCGTATTTTTATTTTTATCGGCTGTTTATTTTACTCCGCCGATAAATAAATTTCTTCTTCAGCATCTTTCACCTCTTTCTCTTCCTAAATTCCTGCAGGTTAGGTATATTGTGTACTTTTTTTTTTTTTCTTTTTTATTCTGGAAAACTTTTACATTCAATACTTTAACTGACAAGTACTTTATCTACTCCGTAATTTAATGAGAATAAAATTAAACTCACTAATTTATTTCTTAATAACTATCGTAGCGTTCTACTTACAGTTTGATAATTCATTAACTTTTGATTTATTTTTTTTTATCCGCAATAAATTTTTTTAAAAAAATTATTAAACTTTCACATTCATTAAATTAAATTGTTCTTAAACTCATAAGTACTTTCACTGGTTGTTTTGCAAATCACTCACAATATTGCGAAATATAATTATAATTGTTTCTTATACATTTTTATACTCCACTACATATCAAGTCAATTGATATATATGTTTATGTTTTTAAAAATAATTATCAACAAAAAATCAATATCGATAGTTCACCGATAAGTAATCGCTGACAGTAAATTTATGTGTCAATATGGTAAATATTGTCTAGGTAAGTAGCAAAAAATTGTCCAGGGATTAAATACCATTAAATTGACAGTTTATTGAGCTGCCAATGACATTTGATATATTTATTTTCTTGAAATCGTTGAATTGATTGACGTCAACATAACCTTCTCATCTTATCAAGCTCTTGGTCATCAGTTGATTATTAAACACCATCCTGGGTTTTATATGCTGTGTATATCTTGTCTTGATAAAATATATTATTGTCATGCTGAAATGTGAATGGCGCATTACATTAGTTATAAAAGAAGACAAGTGTATGAACTAAGTATAATGAGAATGAGTGAGACAATCCATACAAGCCGGAGAATAGATATATTCGTATCATCGGTGAGGTGTGACTCTTGATTATTTTTTATTAATCCACAGCACTTTGTTACTTTAATTTTTTAATTAACATATTTTTATGTGTTTGTTTACTAAAATAATTATTCATTTCAGTCAGTGTAATTACGTTTTTTAGTTAAAACACGAGCACTTAAAAATTTTTCATTAGATACGCGATTGTAAACCGCGAGTCGCGAGATTCGCGTTCGCGACGACACCGCTGTAATTTTCGTCGGCAAAACTCCGTTGCACTCTCGGGGCTAGTGACCTCTGTACCGGGGTATTCTAAGCTATTTCTTATTTTTTTTCTTTATTTTTTTTATTATTTAAGGAGGGGATATTTTAAGGTACTTTCACATTATTTTTAAATTAACTATATTTATAAGAAGAAAATATTATTATTGTTATTGGTATATATTCCAATAAAATATTAAAAATAAATATTGAGAAAACTGAAAAATTTTTATTCATCAAGATAAGTTGTCAAAAATTATTAATAATTTGATTATTGTAAATATTATTTTAATCTATTACTTCGAAATTTATTGATGTTTTTGAAGATATTGTAATATTTATTATTCTTCTTGATTTTTTAAAAAGAATTAATTGAAATAGCTTTAAGTTTGACAAGTTTGTTTACAATATTATTTAAAATTTTATGATACTAAAGTTAGCCGACGTTTTTAATTACTTGATTTTTTTTTTTAATAATTAAATTAAAACAGAAAAATATTTTTAAAAAATTTCACTCACAGTTTTTGAAGTTTTTTACAAGTGACATTTTTTTAAAAATTTTTTTGTAATAAATTTTTTAATAAAAAAAATTCTAAAAATTTTCAAATGTCGGCTAACTTAATTTTCATAAAATTTTAATAATATATTTTAGGAACTGCAAAAATTCTTCAGTGATTGTTAATTTGACTTTAATTGTTTTTACTAACATTTAACAATCTCGATATTGTTTAAAACGTAATTATTAGATACTAAATTTTTATTCTAATCTCTAATATTTTAAAATAAATTAATGTATCTATTAATTTTTCAATTGTTACACAACTCATAACTTTTCGTAATATTTAAGAATCAGTGAAAAAAAAATTAAAAATCAAATATAATCATGTACAACAATTTTACCTAATGATCCATATTTTAACTAAACATGAAAATTAATTTAGCAGATATTTATTAAATTTAAATAATTTTTTTAACGAATAAATTGGGCAAAAAAAAATTGACATGTAGAAGTTAAAAAAATTTTAAAATGCAATTTTTTAAAAGTTTTTTTTTTCCGAACAAATTTCTTTGTTAAAAAAAATTAAAAAATTATCAAGTGACTGCTAACTTTAATGCCATCAATTAAACTTTACGTAATTATTATCTGTTTAAAAATTTCCCGCTTAAATATAAAACTGAAAAGAGGGCGCTACTTTTAATAATGTTTTTTTATTTTTTTTAAGTCAAGTCAATAAATTATTTTTTCTAAAAAATGTAAAAAAGAACTCTTATTTCATTCTAAAAAAGAAAAAAATTAATAATATAAAATAACAAAAAAATATTCGATGAAATTTTTTTTTTTAAATATAAAAAAAAAACAGTTTTTTTTTTTAAAGTTAATTTTTTTAAAAATTTAATCAGACCGGAAATGAGTGAGTTCTTTTCCCGAAATGAAATGCAAGATAATTTTATTCAATGGCCGAATTTTTCACAAACTGTCAGTGACGAGAAAAAAAAAGTTTTTTTTTTTTACTATTGTTGTTAATTAGATATTTGTAAAAATGGGAAAAGGGTTTAATAATTACATGTGTAAAAAGTTTTTTCATCCAGCTTCACGTGACAATTTAAAAAGAGTACGTAATTTTGTTGTCACTAATTATTTTTTTTTCGTTCTGTTATTTAAAAATCAGACATTTTGTAATGAAATTATTTTTAATGTTTGTTGTTTATTGTTACAGGTATGGATGGCAGAACAGCAGGCTGATGCTTATAAAAAGAAACAAGAAGAATTACGAGTTCAATATGAAAAGGAGCAGGATCTTCACAATAACAAGTGAGTACTAGGTTATGTTTACGTTCGTCAACTTTGAACACAATCAATTATCCAGCCATTTAATTCATTAAAATTTTTAGAGCTCTGCTGAGTAAAGAAAGCAAGGACAAATTAAGCGTAAACTTTATGTACGAGCCTCCTCCGGGTGCTAAAAAAGAACGAGAAAAAGAAGACAACGAACCAGAGTATAAATTTGAATGGCAGAGAAAATATAATGCACCTAGGGAAAGTTATTGTAAGGGAGACAGTGAAATTAGGGATCAACCTTTTGGTATCCAAGTACGAAATGTTCGATGTATCAAGTGTCACAAATGGGGACATATCAATACTGGTAATTATGATGAAATTAATTCATATGAATTTATTAATGTAAGCTTAACTTATTTGTAACTTTTTTTTTTTTTTTTTTATTTAAATAGACAAAGAATGTCCGATGTATAGTCAGGCAATGAGTGTTGTTTTGGCTAATCAAGAAAAACAAGAAAAACAAGAAACTCCTGATGCTTTAACGCTGATTCAACAAATGAGAGAAGATGGAATAGCTTTAAAACAGTAAGTAATGAAAATTATTTGAAATTACATATTTTTAATAAATTGATAAAAATGCAAGTATTAAATGGTTTGACGCGTTTTGGGCTCAAAACAATTCATCTCTTATTGACATTCAATTTTAATATTTTTAAAAGAAATTTAGAAAATGTCTGATGAAATTAAAATAAAAAATGGTAAATATTTACAAGTGAGGTCCACCATTTTAATTTTCATTTTTTTCAACGAAATTTCTATTTGATTTTATTGATATATTTTTTTTGAAAAATACATAAAAAATGAACAATTAATTTAAAAAAAAAGTTGATTATCACAATTTTAACAAATTTAAAAAAAAAATCTATAAATTTTTTTAAAAATTGTGATATCAAGCGTTTTTTTTTTTTTTTAATTGTTTGTTTTTTCATAAATTTAAAAAAAATATATCAAAAAAAGATAAAATAGAAATTTTATCCAAAAACATGAGAGCCAAAATTTTTTCCAACTATTGAAGGCAAAAAAGCATCGAAATCTTCATTTTTTTCTTTGACGATATTATTTATCATAAATTAAAAGACCCAGTTACTGACACTAGCCTAATTGTTTGATACTTGCAATTTTATTCTAATTATAAAAATAAAATATCAAAAAATCAATTATTTTAAAATTTATAATTCAAAAATTATATTTATTGATTTATTAGACTTGATTTTTTTTTTAATTAAAATAAAATTGAAAGTGACGATAACTAGGCCAGTGTCAATAACTGGGTCTTTTATCTTAAATGTGCCGTAAAAACAAGCAGAATAAAAAAAATTCGAAAATGATAATTTTTCACCTAGATATGGCCAAAAATAGGGTGGACCTCACTTGTAAATAATTACCAAAAAAATTCAGAGTAAATAGACCCAGAAAAAAAAATTTTAATAAATACACAAAAAATCCATGATAAAAGAGAAGGGATAAGTTGTCGGGGATGATATGTCTTGGGCCCAAAACGCAGTGAAACAAAATTATTTTTTAAAAACTGCATTTTTAATTTTTCAAAATTTCGACATGTCAATTTTTTTTTTCTCGGTTTTTTTTTGCCACAATTTAGTTACTACAAAAATTTTTATAATCATAAAAAATCTGCCAAATGAATTTTCATATCAAATATTGATTTTAATTTAATTAAAGGTCAGCAATAACAGCTCAGCAACATCTGCGAATACCTCAGCATGAAGATCAATTGTTATCAGCGGACGAAGATGAAATGTCTGAAGAAGCATTTTTCAACTCTTTATCTAAGAAAGAAAAGAAACGATTGATAAAGAAATTAGAAAAGATGGAGAAGAAGAAAGCCAAGAAAGAAAAGAAACGTAAGAGCAAGAAAGAAAAAAAGAAAAAATCAAAAAAACGTGAAAGTGTATCTAGCAGTAGCAGCAGCAGCGAAAGTAGTGATAGCGAATCTGAGAGCTCGAGCTCTGAAGATGAGAAGAAACGACGGAAAAAAAAGAAATCTAAAAAGACACACGATTCGAGTTCGAGTTCCTCTGATGAAGAAACGATTGTAAAGGAAAAAGAGAGATCGAGAGAGAAAGACAGAGAAAAGTTCAAGGATAGGCGGCAGGAAGAAGTTAGAAGAAGAGACGAGAGATTTGATCGTCGACCTGATCGTAGAGATCATGGGCATTATTATGATAAAGAAAGTTTTAAAGATAAGGCTGATTATAATCGTGATCGTAATCGACATGATCGCAAACGAAAGTCTGAAGAATCAGACGAACGAAGATATCGACGTGATAAACGAATCAGGAATTCTTAATCCAGTTATATTACTTGTATTGATTGTTTTATATTAATAATAACATGTTTACCTTTTAAATAATATTGTTTGTTTAAATTGGTATTTATATTTGATAATTATATGAAGGATTTATTGAACCTAATTAACAATGTTACATCGAAGTCAACAATGCTGTTTTTAATTGATTTTTTTATTATATTTAATAAATGAGCAAATGTATTTACATGTACAATAATAATATTAATAATAATAAGACTCTACAATCGACAAAGATTATTGGTCATGTAATAATTAAATGAATTACGTTTAATTTTTTTTTTTTTATATAATTATTCCTGTCGAGCACTAGACAAGTGAAACATGAAATAAATTTTATTGATTTATGTAATTTATAATCGTTTAATAAATCGAATTAATGAATTTACTATTTACAATAGAGGCAATGAGCATGTTTTTATATAATTTGCGCTGCAAGATATATATATATTTTTTTTTTTCATTTTTACAATTCATTTAGTTGGTTAATAAATAAAAAAAATAAAAAAAAAAATAGTACGTAATTATTTTCCGAAAAATTCGATACGTAAAAAAATCTAGTTATACAGTGATTTATGTAGTTTTAAGTTACATATTTAATTTTGTTGTTTTAATTTATTAAGAATAGACAGGATAAAATATTATACTATTACAATCAACCGTTGCAGGCACGTATTGCACGTCGCTAGTGTTAGAGCTAGAGAGTGCTTTGCTATTTTAATTTACACACAATAGTTACGTAGAAAATAATAATTATTTTTTCACTTCTTTCGGTTTTAAATAATATAGTAACAACAATTATCTAATGTAAATCGTTATTTTTTTTTTAGAGGAGTTGCAATTATAACTACAATATTTTATGTATTTAAATCTACATATGTCTAAATAATCAGCATTATTTAATATTTTATCATCAACAATTTTTCGAATCTACATGAAAAAGATATATCTATCTATTGGTATTTGCGGTGAACACTTGGGCAGTTTGCAATTACTCTTTGTATTGTTTGTTTTATTAGTACGGTATTATCGGCAAAAATTAACAGTATAATTATCATTTAAATAATTTATAGAAAAAATTAAAAAAGAAAAAAATAGCAACAATGATTCCGCAAATTTGTACTAATTGTACAATCAATTCTCCTCTTTGTTTCGTAGTTTTTATGTACATGACAAACATAACAAACTTAAACAGTTATATCTTGTGTAGACGGCAGAAATATTGACATCGATATTTCTATTTAGTTTAATTAAATAAAAATAATCGATTGACTTTAACTGATCGACTGCGAGGAATAAAATAAAAACTTTTAACTTTAAAAATAATTTTTTTAACAATTTGACTGTCTCTTACCGCTAAACTATTTTACAAACTTGAAATTAAAAATAATTACAGACATATTTAATATCTCTACAACAAAAACCTTTGGATTAAAGTCAGAAGTCAAAAGTTTATAATTTAATCCTCAGTGAAAAATATTTCTCGTTGTAAATTTTCAACTAAAGAAAACTATAAAAAAGAAATCATAACATTTTATGTTTTAAATCCTTAAATATTACGAATAACTGAAAATATCAGATGCTAAACAACCGAGAAGCAATCGCGCGGCAGTGAATACGCTCGAGATCTTGATAATATCTCTTTTCTCGAGCATTCGTTGACTCAGCTAAAAGAACAAAAAAATATATATGTGTATAATTTGGGCGTTTTATTAAGACCCATCTATGCTAGTACTTTCTCGAGCTAACTATAAATGCTCCGAAAGCTGTGCTACATCCATCATTTCTGAATCTTCTAGACTATTGCGCCCACGCGTGAATCTGAAAAATAAAATAAATTCATTATTCTGATTTTAATTTTTTATCGATCAAATATTACCTGGATTGAAATTGATAACTTAGTCGGTTGTTAGCTGCCGGAGAATAACATCTTCTGTGACTCGAGCTCAGAGACTGATGTCGTGGGCTACGAGAATTTTTCGACTGGCTGTACAAGCCTTCCAAAACACTTGGAGCAACATAAGTAAAGCCCTGAAATAAATTTTAACAATAATCTATTTATACTTATTATATAAATTTAAGGGTGTAGTTAAGCTGGTCACTTTCGAAAATTCGATTTTTTTTACATTTTTCGAATGGATACGTACTTAAGAATTCACGGGGATGTGTTAAATATTTCGGGTGAGGACTCACAGACGAAATTTTGGTAAGATTTTTTATTAAAAAAAATTTAAAACGCATTTTTCTCAAAACTGTTCTCACGGACAGCCAACACGATTTCTCCAGAACCCGTTGGCCGATCCTTCTAAAATTTTAACCACGTATTTTAAACATAAATACTCACAAAATAGACTATCATCGAGTTTTTTTTACAAATCACAGTGAAAAAAGAAACAATTATTGACTTGTATATTTACAGTTATTATATCGATTCATCTACTCTAGTTAAATCATGTTAAAATTAAATTTAAATCATATTATAATTAATCATAAGTATCTTTATTATTATCTTCATTATATCCTAAATTTTATATTATTGTATCCACTATTGCAAAAATTATATGATAAACTTTGGTATTTGGTAACGGCCTTGGCATTATTAAATAAATAAATAATTTTTTTGGTTTTTGTTACTTAAAATCAACAACAATTGTTAAAAATTAATATCAGTAGTCTACACTGAAAAAAAAAAAATTTTTGTCCAGAAAAAAATTTCTTGGCTCCAGAATCGTTGAAAATAAATTTTGATTTTTAGACAAAAGAATATCAATATCTATCGTGATAATAAAATATTGGCATTAATTTTGATAGCTTAACAAACGAATAGGTTCACTTGAATAAAACAAAAAATAATTCGATTAATTCGATCAATTCTTGAGACAAGAAAATATATTCTTGAAAATTATCAAGAATATATATTCTTGTGACAAGAAAATTTTCTCCCAAGAGTAGTAATTTTTTTTCTCAGTGTATTTTGTAACGATTGTCATAAAAGATCTAAAACACTTCGGTTTTTTTGTTTTAAATAAGCCGTTGCCTAATTATCGTGTAGAAGCCGACTTGCCTCAAAATAATGGCATTCCGTTTGAATATGAATTTTGTATAAGAAAACTGAAAAAAATTAATAAAAAAATTTTTATTTTTGTAATTTAATAATTATTTACAAGCGGGGTCAACCCATGATAGTCCATGTTAAATTTTTTTTTGATCAAATTGATCAATTGTTTTTTTTTTTTTTTTATTTTTTTTAATTACTGTTTTTAATTGTTCAGTTTTTTATTGTA